AAACTTTGTGTTGAATTGTCTTTTTTTTTTTCAAACGGATAAATTTTATAACAAAAGCAAAAACATGTACAAGGCCAATCAACTGATTGGTAGAGTCTAACTGGGGAACACAACAACTGCCTTCCCTAACCAAACTAACCCCAGACAACATAAAAGGAAGCTAACAAGAAATATATACATAAGCAAAAGAAACTACACAACCACCCACAGCAAATCTACATCTAGATAATTACAAACCGGCAGCACTTGATCCTTAAGCTTGAAAATCCATCCCTCCAGTCCGTAAAGAAGTAATGGCTGCTACAGCACTGGCAATATATTATGCCCTACCTTTGCAGTCATCCTTGACACCTCCTCCTTTTGCTTCTCTGGCTAGTCATTCTTCCCACTAATTGCTGCGTATTCCTTCCATTCATTGATGGCTCTTTCTGCTACTATTTTCTCTAGTAACCATACTTTTTGAAAAATCCAGTTGTTTCTTGTACACCATAGCCACCATAAAAAATATGTTGTCAACTCAATTCTCTCTTTCTTGCTCTTACCTCTGTCCATGCACATCAGAGCAGACCACCACTCCCTGAAGTCATCTTCCTTTTCTTTTAACCCATCCTAATTCAGGCCTGATAGCTTCCATATCCTCTTGGCTCTAATGCAAGAAAACATAATATGCTCTAGTGTCTCCACTTCCTCCCCACATTGCTGACATATTAGATCCACTTCCATGACTTTCTTCACCAGTTGTTCCTTCACTCCCAAATACCTATGCCAGCATTTCCATAAAACCATCTTGATCTTCCCCTTGATCTGAAGCTCCCAGGTTTTCCTCCATATCTTCTTCCTCACAGCTTCAGTGCCACTACTTTCTGGACCCTCCTTTGCCAAAACTGTACTGTTCACCAAATGGGAATACACATGCTTCACTGAGAAGAGTCCCTTTGGAAAATATACCTACATTAGTTGATCCTTCTTGCCTTGGGAAGGTGGTCTGAGCTTCAGAATTTCCTCTGCTTCAAATGGTAGGAATGTTTGCTTTATTAGCTCCTCATCCCAGCCGTTCCCATCCATTGTACAAAGATCACTGACTTTTCTCACCCTGTGTCTATCATTTTCATAGCAACAGAATGGTTTAGGCAAAGGAGAATTAATGATCCAATTAGAATCCTATACCTCAATATTCCTGCCATCACCAATTTTGTAACCCAGCCCCCCTTTCAACACATATCGAACTTTCAACCAAGATTTCCATAGCCAAGAATTAGCATTTTTAGGATGAATATCAAACAGATTCTGATCATGAAAATATTTACCCTTAATCACCTTGCTCATTAAAAGGTTGGGTTGAGAAATCACTCTCCATAATTGTTTAGCAATTAAAGCATCATTAAAACAAGAGAAATTTCTGAAACCCAACCCCCCTCTCTCCTTTGGTAATTCTAATTTTTCCCACTCAGCCCAATGTATTCTCTTTTTACCCTCCTCAGAACAACCCCACCAAAAATCAGCAACGGTTTTACAAATAGAAGTATAAATACCTACTGGTAATTTAAAACAAGACATAATATATACTGGCAATGCTCCCAAAACAGATTTAATCAAAGTATCTCTCCCTGCATCACTCAAAAACCTATTTTTCCAATTAGACACTCTAGACACCACACAATCTGACACAAATTTGAAGGTATCCAACTTTGATCTCCCAATACCTAAGGGCATCCCAAGGTATTTGGAAGATTTCACCACCTGAATTCTACCAAATAAATGACAGATGTAGTCCCTGGATTCCAAAGGAGTGTTCTTAGAGAAAAAGATGGAGGATTTAGATAGATTGATCACTTGTCCAGAAGCTTTCCTATAAGAATGCAAAATGGAATGCAAAACATCAGCATTATGCTTGTTAGCCTTACAAAATACAATAGAATCATCGACAAAAAATAGGTGGGATATAACTGGGGCATGAGGACCTATCTTAAGGCCACTAAATTTAGAAGAATTACAAGCTTTATGAAGAGCAAAAGAGAAGGCTTCAGAAATTATCATAAATAAGTAGGGAGATAGAGGATCTCCCTGCCTAAGCCCTCGGGAAGGTTTAACAAAACCCTTAGGCTGACCATTAATATTAAAGGAAAATGAGGAGGATTTTAAACAAATAACAATCCAAACTATGAAGGTTCTACAAAATCCAAATTTTTCCAAAATAAGAATAAGGAAATCCCATTCCATGGGATTTTTCCAAAATAAGAATAAGGAAATCCCATTCCACCCGGTCATACGCTTTAGACATATCTAATTTCAAGGCCATGAAGGCATTTTTTCCTTTTTTCTTGCTATTGAGAAAATGCACACATTCATTTGCAAGGATGACATTATCTACGATTTGTCTACCGGGAACAAAAGCAGCTTGGTTTTGAGAAATACAAATAGGGAGGACCTCCTTTAGTCTATTAGACAAAATTTTGGACAAAGTCTTATAAATAACTGTACATAGGCTAATAGGCCTAAAATCTGACACTTTAAGAGGATTACGAATTTTAGGAATTAAGGAAATAACAGTATGATTAATTTTTTGGGGGATACAGCCTTTTTGGAAAAAATAGTAATGGCTGCACAAAAATCAGATTTAATAATTGGCCAACAAGATTGAAAAAAATAGGGGGTCATACCGTCTATACCGGGCGCTTTGTTGGGGTTCATCTCCATAAGTGCATTCTTTATCTCTTCTTCATCTACAACTTTTTTCAACACTTGATTCTTCTGATTTGATATCACTCTCTGAAAACCATCCATATTGAACTCCTCCACTTTGTGATCTGATGATGTAAAGAGTTTTTGGAAGGAATCCACTATTTCATCCAGAATTTCTGTTTCATTTTCACATCTTCTCCCCTGTTCTGTAACCAACATCTCAATACAATTCTTTCTCCTCTGATTCTTGACGCAAGCATGAAAATACCTTGTATTCCTATCCCCTTGCTTTAGCCATCTTGCTCTCGACTTCTGTCTCCAATACACTTCTTCTTCCTCATAAGCTTGATGAAGCTTTTTTTAAATTGCCATCCATTTTTCCCATTCTTTTTTGCCACCCTGATTCAGCATCACTGCTAGTTGTGAATTGTAGCTCTCAATGAGTATAGCTGAATTGGAGATATGTGTTGCCTTCCATCCCAAAAGTGCCATCCTTGTATTTCTGATTTTGCTTTGGATTTTATCCAGTGGTGGACCAAAAACATCGATACTCCATGCCTTACTCACCACATCTGTAAATCCCTTCCTCCCTAGCCACCTTGCATCAAAGTAGAACCTTTTCTTCCATAAGCCTGTACTTCTGGTAGTGTCCAACAACAGCAGACAATGGTCAGAGGATATCCTGGGAATGTGAGAAACAGTAGAATGGGGAAAGGTTAATAGCCACTCATCAGAAAACAAAAATCTATCTAATCTCTCTTCTATAGATCCCTCCCCACTCCTATTATTAGACCAAGTAAAAGGATACCCTCTAACCCCCACATCCTGAACTTTAATGTCCCTAATCAATTCTCTGAAACTCCTGAAACCGCTCTCTGCCCT